CCTTTCATTTTGGCACAGAATCGACAATATAATCGGCAACTTTTCTTTGGCAAAGAGAACACTGTAATTTCTTTGCACATTTCTACGGATTTAGCTGAGATTTGAACAATTATTAACATTTTTCTGCATTGCGTTGGCCATTTAAGTCCGTTCTGACAATTCTTTTAAGCATTTCCAACATTTCTTTCTTGTTGTAAAGTGTATCCATGACAGCCATAAGATATATCTGTTCGATTTGGATCTGTGGCCGCAGAGTAAGCCATAAAATCATTCTAATTCCTGGAACAGAAAAGCCTCCGCTGCACAGCAGTTGAATGCTTGATAAATGCTTGACTGATGGCCAGGCTGGTTCTGGGCTTGGACCTGGGACTGGGTCTGGGTCTGGGTCTGGCCGGCTTTGGTTTTGCTTCCAAGATCCCAGATTGCTTACTCGAGCAACAATTTCCCATAAACAGGCGTTGCTAAAGCGTTTTGCATGCTTTGAGGGATTTCCCAGGCTTCTGCAGCCTCCACCGCAGCTCCAACTGTCGCCCCAGTCAGGCGTGGCATGTGGCACAAACTTGCAGCGGTGTGCCGGGAAAGGGGCGCAGGACAAAGCAAGGAGTAAGATAAGCACAAATTAGTGGTAAATTAAGGCATCAGCAGGGCACTGTGACTGCAGCTGCTCGTCGCATGGTTCTGGGTACACTCACGGCAAAACATGTCAGTCTCAAGGGGGTGGGCAGGGAATCGCCTCGGACCCCAGCTTGATGGACGTGCACTCAACACTTTCACCAGCTGACAGTAACACTAATAATCCTACCTCGTTCCTTCCTGCCTATCAGCCCTGTGTCCCACTCATTGGATCTCCTTTCCCCGCCCCTGTTCCGACTATCCATTCCCCCCTCAGGAGAAAATCCTGCGTTTCGTTGCTTATCAGTTTCCAATCACATTTTTACTCGCATTTTGGTACAATTCGTACCCTGGCCATAAATCAACAAGGCGCCCGATAATCCTCAATTCCAGAGGGTGTCAGCCAGAGCCACAGCTGGAGCGAGACAGGTAGCCAGGAAAGGGTGCATATGAGAGCGGGATAGAGCGATAGGCACCTTCCAACGACAACAACAAAAAGAGATAAAAATTGACAGCTTGACATGTGTACAAACAGCAAATACGCGTAGCAAATACCCCCCGCCCGATCAAAAATGTACCAAAATGGTAAAGGACTCGTGCCTGAAAGGGGAGACAGGGGAGACGTGTTTTAATTCTATTCTACGGTTGCCGCTTTCAAGGTTTTCCCAATTTTATTGCTGGTTTTTGTGGTCGTGTTGAGCAGATGATGAAAACTGAGAGAGCAATGGGGGTTATGTGTGGCAGGGATCCTCCCTCAGCGCTGTGTCCTGCCACGTGTCAAACGCGATCTGTTTAGAGCTCCAGCTGTGCCATCAATGTCCCTCGGTTTGCATGTTAAATGCTAAGTTAAATGGTTTGACGGCAATTTATCTTGGACCATTTGATTAATTTGCTGTAATTATTCCTTGGAATGTTCTCTTAAGTACTTCGGATCTTATTTTATTTATTTTAAAGTGCGTGTTTCTATGGCCATCTATTATCCTGCTGAATACACCATGAAAAGTGTCTTCTATCATCTTCTTTCTTTGAGACTTTGATACTTACAATCTATGTACAATATTTCCATTTCTCTGCTCGGTTTTTCGTGCTCTTTATATTACTTTCCACTGGAATACTCTCGATTATTTAATTTATTTGCTTTCCATGTTTATGAGTCAAGTCATCAGTGCTTTTGGGCGCAACTGTCGACTCATATGGCATTTATTTAATGTGCCAGTTTAAAGTCAATAAAAATTGGGTACTTGCAAATGCCATTAAAAGAACTTGGCAAAGATGTTAGTTATTATTCGATAGGGAACAAATGAACCTACTGGAACATTTTTGGTAAGAAATGACAGAGCTAACTTTAATGTGTTTTTCAAAATTAAAATTCGTACGACATCCCATCGGATTGAGTCCATCTTTGACATCAAATGTGTCCCAAGCATTGCAGTGATCCGAAGAAAACTGCTGACAAATTCCCCAAGCAATTACCGGGCCATTAACTGGTGATGTAACCACTCATCGACTCCGTTACCTTCAGGCATACACTTACATATCTACACGTATGCACGTTCAAACACGGCACACATACATCCAGGGGACATTGGACAAGACAGGACTCGACTGCAGGAGGAACATAATAAAGCAATAAAAAGAAAAGAGGAGAAAGAATGGCAGAATGAAAGGAGGACGAAGGAGAGGTAAATGCCGGTGAGGGCAACTAAAGAGCCGCAAATGCTGCCTGACTGCCTGACTGCCTGCCTGCGTGCCTGCCTGCCTGGCAGCCTGCCCTCCAATCGCTCCCTTTCTTTTGGCTTTGTCTAATTTATCATCAAACCGGCAGCAGGACAAAGGACATGCGGTGTGGTGACCATGGAACCAGCTGGCTTCCTGGCTAACTCAAAGCCGAACCCGAAACTGAGCCTGAACAAACCTGCGGGCTTCGGACATTCATGACTAAATTGAAACAGGTTGAACAGGAAAGAGTCTTTAAGGTGTTTCGCTAGTTCTTGGAGGTAGAAAGATGCTCCAAGGGATGGAGAACGAGTGTTATTGGATATAGAAAGAGACTCCAAGTAGGAGTACTTCGTGCAGGAAGAAGTAGTGTCTCTTCCTATCTCATCCCTTCCGTGTCAATCATTTGACTTTTCACTTGAGCCCGATGTCTGACAACAGCTCCGAGATCAAAGCGAGCGGACAGGCGACTGCCACTTGAACACTTATCCCAACCCAAACACAGTCCCTCCGCCCTGGGCTTATCTCACTTACAAGTAATTGTAATATTATCCCTAATAAGCAAAAGATTGATAGCATTCTTGGGAAAGCCATAGCCCGGCCATAAAAATCTCTCAAGTAGGTCGCGGGGGGAAAATTATTAGAAGAGCCTCCTCACTCGACACCAGTCCAGAAAAGGACACAAAGGATGGCCGGCCGGTTATCTGCTTTGGACTATGGACTATGGACTGACTCTGACTCTTCGTCTCATCATCACTTGAGTAAACAATGTCATAAAATCATCAATCAAATCCTGCTGTCCTGCTGCCACTCCGAGCCTTTCCAATCTCTGCCATTGGTTTGTTCTCGTGCTGTTTTCTTGGTCGGGCTCCTTTCTGGTATTGGATGGTCCTTTGTGTTGTGCTTGTGCCTCTGTCTCGGGCCCTAAACTGTTTAAGCAAACAACACAGCACTGGACACGCGTCCGGATTTGGTTTTTGGCTTGGGTTTACTTTTACCCTCTGCCCTCGGCCCTCTCCTCTCCTCTACCTACACGTACCCTTGCCCTCTCCCGGCGTCATTGGACCCTGGGCCTGTTAATACAATTAAGTGTTAAATTTGTTGCTGCTTCTTTTGGGGTCTTCGGACAATGTTGGGATATTTGTAAGTCGGGCAAATTGTTTTATGGGCGTGCCGCTATTTACATTATAAGTAGATATGGGCTATGGGCCCTGTTCCTGTGGTTTGAGTCGATTTGGGCGATTCGGCTGCAAGATGGAAATGACATTAGTCCGTCGGAGGGGCACGAATGGTATCGTAAAGTATGAAACTTTATTCTATGTTTGTCTATAATCTTTATTAGGTGTGTGTTTCTCACTTGGGAATTGCTACCATCTAAATTAGCTCATCTTAATCATGTTGAAGGGGCTCAACAGATTAACTGTATGGAGAGTTAATGTTCAAGGTTAAGGGCTATTTGGTCCTAGCTAAATAAAGAGCACTTAGGGATATTCCTGCTCGACTTTACTTTAAGGAAAACCTAATTCTTTAAAGAGTTTTTTTAGAGCTGTCCCCAACTGTTCCAGCAAGATCAATCATGTCCAATCAGTTGATGATTCACCCTGACCTTCACCCCAACGCAAAACCCCAGCCAGAACATACACAAATCTCTACCAGTGGGGGCTTTCACAACGGTTTTGGCTCGCTGCAACGGGATCTTTTCCACCGGAGTGGAGCAGTTCAAAGCGAAGGGGTGGGTGCCCACGGGCTTCTCCTGCAGCAGGTTGCAACGAACTTGGTTTGCTCAGAGCACACAACATCGAACATTACCCCGCTTCGAGCTGGCAGCATCGAGCATTGCCCCTCTTCGAACATATCTTACGAGGTTTTAGCAGCGAATCGCTAGGTGGCGCTCTAGCACAACATAAAATGTCTTGTGTGGCTCTGGCTTGGGCCACTTAATCACAATAACTAGGTTATTGTTTAGTTAAAATGTACATTGTTTGTACTATTTGGTGCTATTTGTACTTTTTGTTTGTTATTTCCCATCGCTCTATTAGCTCTCTCCAGCGAAAAACTCGGTATAAAAGATAGCTTATAGAGTTTTTAATTGATACAACTGTTTTAAAAATCGTTAAAAAATATATGAAGTTGCCTCTGTTGAAGTTTAAGTGCTTTCCCAACAGTAAACATTTGATTTCCACTGCTAAGATAGAAGTTATACCACTTTTAAAATAGGGCTTGAGGTGGCCCTTGTTGACTAGTCAGATGGCTAGACCTGGATATTTGAGGATAGCTTATCCCGTCGGGATGTTTCTGTTATCGTTATCTGTTACTTCAGTGTTCGTTTTCGGGTTCAACCTTCGGTTTGACATTTGCCTGCCTCGGCTCCGGCTTCGGCTCCGGCTTCGGCTCCGGCTTCGGCTCGATGTTGCATGCAACCTCTGGTATGACGTAGTGGCGGGCAGCAAAGTTGTACACGAAACGGCCTTGCCACCACACCGAATTCAGTCGACGTTGGATCAAACATGTGTATAAGTTGCCAACGAACTCAACTCAGCAATGCAACGCGAAAATGAGCACATGTTAAGGGAATATGTTTGTATGGTGAAGGGAAACCAAGGCAAAGCGCGTGCATTCAATTTCAAATCGTCGTCGTGAATTGGCTTGTGTGGAAAACTTCGAAAATTAATATAAAATCTTAACAATAAAAGTAAATAAAGGGACAATTGTTTAAAAACGTGTGAGCTTGGACCAATGTGGATCATTTTTAAAATAAATTTAACAAAAAGTGAAAAGTGAATCTGTATGTATGGAGAAGGGAAACCAAACCAAAGCAAAGTGAATTCAGTCTCTGAGGCGAGCGGGTTGGAATAACGGTTATTCTTCTGTTCCACCCACATCTACCACCTCAACAAATGCTCTTCGCTTCTGAGATTTACAGTTCGTGGCTCGTGACACAGTGATGCCAAAGCGTGCCAGTGTGCGTGTGTGTGTGTGTGCTAGTGTGACCGTTAATCGGGTTTGAAAAATTTCAAATACAAAAAATCGTTTCGAATAATAAAGAAATCAATCGAATGAGATGCCTCAATCGCTGCCGCAGATCATCGGTAACGGAACAAAAGGCAACTAGAGAGCAATTGTTAAATTAACAGAGATTAAAGATTGAAACAAAGAAACGAGATATCTCTGCCAGTGTGCCCCTGCCAGTGTGCTAAGTGATACAACTCTCTCTCATCTGTGCATGTCTGTGCGTGTCCACCCGCGTGTGTGAGTGCCAGTGTTATCTGTCTAACAATTAATTAGCATTTAAATCGCTCATTTATCTAACGTTAGACCATCCATCCGAAATCCATCCCTAATCAAACAGCTCAAAAGAAAAACGTGAACGGTGGAACGCTGAACCTAAGAAAGGGGGAGAACGAGAGGCGAAAACGGAACAACAAATTTGTAAGTAAGTGTGTCAACCTGTTAATTAGCATAAAACAAACTGAAATGAAGCCAAATTAAATTATACAATAATACACAACATTGCTGAACTTTAAACCAAAAGTACTGGGAAAATGTTTAAGGTGGGGGCCAAAGAAAAAAGTGCGTAAAAAACGCCAGACCTGAAAAAATAACAAACATTTGCATTCAAATAAACACGAACAACACCCGCAATAAGTGCTGGTCCTGCTCTCCGGGGGTATGTCCTTTTTTTTTTTTTTTGGGTCGGAAAATGCGTCCGTTTACATTGTTGTTTTTCGCTTTTTTCGCGAGAATTTTGTAGACATTTTTTTGTGTGTAATATTTTGTTTATTTATGGTCGAGTTTTAGCGAGGAAAATGGTCTCCAATTTGTCGAAACCTTGGCCGGAGAATCAGGGATTTGCCAAAGGATTTGCATACATTTGCAAACCGTCAAAATGGCTTAATCCCAAAGAGTTTTTTCTGCTAAACCAAGAATGAGAAACTAAAGTACTGTCTGTTTCCATACAGTATCTTTTTTCCCTTGAGAATAGATTAAATTTGTGTAATTTTTCCAAGTGAAAAATGTTGATTAGGCTTTGTTTAGGCTTTGATTAAATATTTGCTTCACGCACATAGAATTTATGTGGCTGAAAGGGTGAATATACTGAGTATTATTTATTGATCTTGTAGCAATATGAATATGTGTTCTTAGGAGCTGGGTTTTTGTTTTGAAATGGTCATTTGAGTGGAAGCAAGATAGAGTTTTTGTGGAAAATCAAAGGCTGTATTATTCAATTTGAATTTAAGTTTTTGTTTGTTGGCGCAGAATAATTGTATGTAGATTGGAACGGATTATGACATGTAAGAGTGGTGTATAAAATGATTGACCCAATTTCAGGATTATTTAACAACCCATTTTGTATGGAGATGTTCGAGTTATTGCGAATATTTGAATGTGGACTTCGGAAAAAATGACTAAAATAGCCCAGAAAGTAGCCAACTGAAGAAGTTGATGCCTTCACATTTGATGTCATGCTCTCTCCCTGTCCTTCATCTTCAAAGCTGCTGTTCTTATAGAAAAATACTCAATAGTTTCCATCTAATCTCCATCCATTTACACCTGAGAATTTCCTGTAGCTACAGCCAGGAACTTAATCTTCTTGTAGCTTGTTGATTGCTTTCGGTATTTCTGGTGTAGTTACAACTGTACAGGAAAGCTCTCCCAAGACAGCTTGACCGTTTTGCTGCATAGCAAATCAAAATTTGTAAACCATCAAGTTAATGAAAAGCCCTTGTCTTGTCTGCTGTAAATGGAAATACTTCTACGGGGGAGACAGACAGACGAAAAAAAAAACATCCAAATTGATCCCAATTGTCAACGATTTGAGGCACGCTCTCCAAGAGTGGGCCGCGAGAGTCGTGTGCCCTATTAGCCTCCAATAAAAATTAACCTGGCCCCCATCCAACATAAATCCCAGACAGCCAAGACGTAAATCTACGGACAGGCCGCAAAGTCAAATGAAAATAGCACGTTTTCACTCCCGAAAAAATATTTTCATTAAAAGTGTGGAAAAGATTCACAATACGAGTATGTGAAAAAAAAAACAACAACAGACAGCCGGCAGCCAGCAGCCAGCAGTCGGAGAAAGAGAGAGTGCTTCTGGGAGGCTGGCTGGCTGGCTGGCTGGGCTGGCTGCGATGAGATGGAAATGGGAGATGGGAGCATCAACATTCATCAATCTGTCAGTGGGGCCTGTCAGCTGTTTTAAGCACCCACAAAGTGCTGTTCCAGGCAGACCCAGAAACAGCACAACAGGAACAAGCTACAGCAATTCGGAGACGCCACACAGTCAGTCATTCAATAAAGATCGAACCGAAGTGAACCAGCAAAACCAGAAGATAAGAAGGGCAAAACAGATGCAGTCGAAACAGTTGATGCTCTTGCAGGTTGATTGTATCATTAGTTTATCTATATAGTCGTAAGTCGTAAGAAAATCTACTAAAAGATAAACTTCATCTTCATAACAAACATCTGATAGAGGTCCCAGTACCCAGTGCTCCGAAAGAGTATCAAGATAAAGATGAATCAGTCTCTTTTGAAACATGGGGACCCAAACACCAAAAACACACAAAATGTAAATGTGAAAATTTCGGAATGCATTTCTTGTGGCCCTTTCGACAGACGGGTCATAAAATTGTTGTACTTTTTCTTGGGCAAACTTTGTTAAACTTTTTCTTTATTCTGTTGGCTCATTGTTTTTTGTTTGCTGTATATTTTTGTTCGCTTAGCCACGCGCAAAACGTGCGCCAATCAATTCCACAAAGAACCGAAACCAGCAAAAGATACGAAAAATAAAACAAAAACAAGAAAAACCCTTAACCGTGTGAACAACTTTGCACTCCCATGGCAAAGGCAAATTAAGGGAAAATGAAAATGAAAAGAGAAGAAGACCGCGTCAAGTCGTGTTAAAATTAGAGACAAAAGCAATTTGTCTTTGTGCAATACTTCAGTCGATACTCAGACACAAATGTATACTTGGAACCACTCGAAAAAGTATCTTGCAGATACATCTACACATTTACATCTGATGAGCCGACTGGGCTGCTTGGGTCTATTAAGCGAACGTGTTGATTGATTTTTATTTTCATGGCATTACATGTAGATAGATATCCCACACACACAACCGCCACAGAAATTGTGTGTGTTTTCCCCCTTGCGGTTTTTTTTGTGTTAATGAAAATTCGACTCGGTTTTCCCTTCCAAAAAAGGAAAGGCAGCCAGACAGAGATGCTGCTAAATCATTCAGCACTCGAGCACTGCCAAGGGTTTGCCGTCTCTAGTTGATTCTATTAATTACAGAATCGAGCTGGAAAGTGGGTCTGTCGCACGATGTGCTGGGAATCAATGACTTATTAAGGAGTCTCATTTCAATGGAGGAGAGGGAAGCGAGAGTTTTCATGCTCTGGTTAATACTGGTAAAATACTCGTTACTTAGCCTTAAAATCGCTACATTTAGTCGCGAGAGGTTTAGAGTTGAGCCAGTCCATCTTTGATCCGCGGTAATTCAGTTTAGAATCATTTGATGTTCTGCCAAAGACAGAACCACTTTAACCCCCAAAGGGTATAATTGAAGTCTACATTCTCCTCTCCTCATTCTTCCTGCCCTCTGCCACAGAACACTTTTTTTTTGTCAACACCTTAGCAAATAGATTTCAGTGTCGCCCCAGCACTTAGAGGACTGCTGCTGCCACTGCTGGTGATTCTGTTGGCTGCCACTTGCCACTTGCCACTTTCACGACCAAAAATTGATTGATTTTATTTGCACAAAAATGGAAAAGAAAACTTCTTTGGGCAACTCTTTCCCCAGCAACCAGCAACAAAAAAATCACCCGAGTGTTTGTGGGTCCAAAAATGGTGGAAGGACAGAGTGCTGGTTGAGGTATCTGTGACTGACATTTTGTGGTTAACTCATTTACACAGGTCCGCCAGCTCTTTGCTCCTTGTGAACTGGTTGAAACCGAGGGCTGTTCCGGCCATCCCCTCGTCTATGCAAAGTTATAGAATATTTTCATTATTTAGGGCTGCATTGGAGACCATCTCTTTGCTGCTGTCTGGACCCAACTCTAAATGCAAATTCCTCATTGACTTGTGGCTTGAAAATTATTTGATAGTCCTGGCCCGGCCATTTCTACCCCATTTTTTGTGTGGTTTTAGTGTGCATTATCGATGAGAGGATGTTTCTCATTTGTTGGAAACTTCACCTGAAAGCTCTCTGCATAGTTGTGACTCGATTTCATTTCCGTTGCTGCAGCTGCAGCTGCATCTGCAAGAAGCAAAAATTGTCATGAATAAATGATGATGATGGTGCTGACGATAATGCTGGTGCTGCTGCTGCTGAAGCGAAGACACTCAAATATTTTACACAGTAAACTCTCATTTCATTCCATCTGATTACAAAGAGTTTATTCCATTTCTGTAAATATATTTTACTGCCAGCAGGAGAGTATATTAAATATATTTGAAATCAGCAGCAATTGTGGAACATCACCGTCAATGATCCAGATATTTTAGTAGACATTTTTAGGATAATTTACGAAGCTCATGCATATACCTGAAGTCCTCCACATAGTCCTGGGTATCTCATTGTCGTGCCACTCTAGGTTTTACCTTTTTTTACTAGCTTCCATAGCTTCCTGTGTGTTTTTCCAAATTTATGGCATATTCCCAATTGATTTGGTTGGGACCAAGTTAAATAAAACCAAAACCTTCGTCGTCTTCGGTCTCTGTCTCTCTCTATTATCTTGCCAAAATATATTGAGAAACCTGGCTGCGCTCCGCCGTCGCACTCTGGCAATTAATTTGAGCCCTCGACACTCCATACTCCATGGAGATTGTGTGCAGCTTTTATTATGTGAAATGGGTTGATCGAAAATTCCAAAAATTTCAATGAAAAATGTATGGATAATACAAGTATTTATACTTGTATTATATTCATACTTTTCATGGCTGACAGGCCTTTGTGTTGAGAATAATCAAAGGCATATTTTTGCACAATGGAAATTGTATTTATTTTTAATTTTGAATTTTTTTTGTATATTTTATTGAGTATAATTTTGATTTTATCGATTTAATTGGAAATTAGTTTAAGCTAAGCGTTGAAACACGATATTGAAAGTTGAATATAAATGTTTTGCTCAAAGCCAATAACCAGCAAAATGTTAAATATTCCATGGTTGGAATGTGATGGAAATTCTTTATGGAACTATGTTAGGGATACAAGAAATTATTGTTCAATAAGCAGAAAAGCTGAAAGTATGATACCATCAAATATGCAAAACATAAATAAATAAATCTCTTTTGCAAAATAAATCCCCATAAATCCGTGAAAAAGTTAACATCTTGAATATGTAATTGAAGGCCCACGGAACGTTGTAAAAAATTACAATGCTAAATAAGTAATTGCAAACCACTCTGGGACACAATTTTTCACACTTTTGCTGC